CTGGATTGAGACAAATCCGTGGCATTACTCTCACCGGAGATAATAAAGACTGGAAACTAAAGATTAGTGAAAAGTGTGTCAATAATAAACTCATCAAAAAGTGTCCTAAAATTGTTTTCTTCAAATTTAATACAAGAAAATTCAAGTGATTTATTAAAATTTTTGTTCACTACATATGAAAAATACTGTTCACTAATCTATTTTATAGTGTAGTTTATAACCGGTATATAAATGTCTTTTTTAGTATTAAAAATATTTAAAATTGTTTTAATAAAAAATCTGTCAATAATTTTTTAAACAGAATTTTAAAAAACATTACTTTATTATTTCAATCAATAAAATATATTAACACTCATTAGAATTGCATTAAAAATTAATGTAAAACAAATCAAAACAATTAATTTGAATACAAATATAAAATATAATCAATTCGTATGAATCGTTACATAAATCATAAATGAAAGGCATTTCAAATGATTAGATTAATTGCTCGTTAAAAAAATACAAAAAATTTAATTAATAAAACATTAATAAAAATGAACTGCAAAATTCAGGATTCAATAACAGGAGCCGAGCCCTACACCATTGCCGCCGTAAACCTAGACCACTTGTGGAAGAGTTAGCTCATGAGTCGAGTGCACACCTGATCCCCCCTTTCCCTAAACTCCTCCATTTTGGCGATTCTGGAGCCGAACTGAATCGCGCGCTTCAGATGATGGGATGTCTCTGTGAGGCCGAGACGCTCGGCCACGAGCCGTAACAGACGCTTCTCGCCGGCCGACCGGTCGAGTCGGAGGTCGCACTTATGCCACACCGGAGTCCCATTCAGAAAGTCAATCACCTGTTCGTCCAGAAACGGATAGCGAGGTTCCCTTCCGTGATCGCTGGTCACCCTATCGTCTCGGCCCAGATTGCGCGACGACAGGCGGTCCACTTCGAGCCCAATCTCGGCCACCAGTCCCGGCCAACCCGTCCTATCAAACACACGCCGGTGTCTCGTATATCCGGCCAACTGTTCGTCGGCTCCCATACCCAACAGTACCACTCGTGCGGGCGTTTCGTACACTTTGGTCACTTCGTGGTCTTCCATGAGTAGTCCGCGACCGTTGGCGGCGAACCAAACGGCGCAACCGATACTATCGTCCAATACAGTGAGCGACGGCTGCACCAGATATTTGATGTGTTTGTCACGCATTGTCTGCAACTCCTCTTTGGACACGTAGATCGACACGAAGTTCCAGCGCCTGTTCGGTCGCAGTGTCTTCAGCTCATCCCACGCCTTGAGCCCTGTTTCCCGATCGGGTGCGTCGCTGTCGAAGGCCACGTTCAACAGATCGATCGGCAACTGCGACGGCACGCACTCGTCGGCCAACAGCGCGATGACCGTCGAGTCGAGTCCGCCCGAGAAGAGTATGGCTGTGGAGGCGTGCGTACAGTTGCGCCCCCGGCGGCCCTTTCGCAGCATCAGTTTGTTGAGCAACAGTTCCCGATCGGGTGACGTACCCATGACGTCGCCCTCGCTGTCCGACGACAGGTCTTGGCGGCCGTTATTGCCGTTGCAGCCGCTGCTGACGGCGGCCGGCGTTGGAGAGTCGGTCCTATTGGTGGCGTCCATTGTCCGTATGAAACACTTCTTGCATAGTGTCTGATGATTATGACAGCGACGGCTCACCGACTGTCGCAACACTTCGGTAAACATCTGGATCACCGATTCGGGCACCTCTTCGCCCACTGATTGGCTGTCGACGGGCACCGATGTGTTCAACGGAACCGTTACGGGCGATGTTAGACACGGCGTGTCCGCCGCGCGATCGGTGACCGCTCCAGAGATGTGCCGATTCCACGGGTAGTGCTTCATGTGGTCTACGGCCGCCTCCAGCGACCGCTCGGCGCCAAAGTTCAGGCAATAGACACCGTTTGCGGGCACTTCCGCCCATTGGAGGGCCGGCTCGTAGTCGAAGTGACAGATGGAGGTCACGATAAACACTTCTGACCGGCGGTCGGTGTTCCAGCACAGACTCCGGCGGCCCAACACATCGCGACCAAACCAGAATCGCCGCCGCAGTTGATCCCAATACGTGAAACTCCAGGGGCCGGCGATTCGCGACAATACGGCCAACACCTGGTCGTCGGCCGCGCAGTCGGCCAACGCTCTCATCAACACTTCCGTATCGGACTCCGTGTCGTCTTCGGGCAGAAGATCGCCGGCGAATATCTGTCCGTTCCATTGCAGGACATTACCCGCGCCGTCCATCAGTGGCTGATCGCACAGTTGTCGGCCGCCCCTCAGCTGCAGACCAGAACTCATTAGACACAGTTGCGGGCCGTGAGTGTAGTCCGAGCCCTCAGCCGCCGAGTGGACGGGTATCTGGAGTTTAGCGAACTGGTCCGGCCCTCGACGGCACAGGAAGTGCCGAATCGACTCATTCTTATCGATCTGTTAAGCGAATGAAAAAGTTGTAAATTAGGTTTCAATACTAGATTTAATTGATTGAATAGTTTGTAAAACTTTTTATTTCATTCATAAACAAGTGTTTTATCTAAAAAAGTTTGTGATTTTGTTTTGCAAATAAGTATCAATTCTGTGGCCAATAGTATATTCGCGATAATAACTATAGATAATTACAAACTCGTGAGAGCAATGGTATGTCTAATATGTTTAATGATAATTATTGGCGATAACAATGTCTATAAATAAAATTATCTATAAAATTGTAAAGTGGTTATTGAAATGTGTATTTATGGGATACAACAACACAAACTCCAAAATCCATTAACACATTACCACCCCTTCCTTCTAACTCTCCCCTCAATTCCCGTTATGTTTGTTGTACTTCAATAACATTTTATGTGTTAATTATCATTAGTGATGGGAATTGTGTTTTTTACAAACTTAGTACAGGTATAGCATTTTATTAAATTAACAAAAATAATAAATATGATTCATGTATAATTTATCATCATTCGCCTAAATGCTATTTCGTGGAGATATGGTTGTAACTAAATTCTTAAGATTATACGGGTAAGAATATACCGAATAACTTGTAGTTAACTTGGTTTAACTAAGTTATAACCTATAGTAATGACAATTAGTTAATGTTTATCAATGATAAATTATCATGTTGTAAAACATATTGAGAGATAAGTTGCTGCTATTTGTTAAATAATTACATAAAATTGTACTCAAAATCTATAAATAAAACATATATCACTTATTATAATATAAAATGTGAATTATTTAAGACAGTAATTCATAAATGGTTTATCAACATTGAAATTGTCACATTTTCAGAACTTGATCATTTTATGCGAATAAAAGTTTTATTTTTTCATACAAAGTAAAAATTATCATAAATACCTTATTCACCAGATTATGGTCACAAATACAGCCAAATATACCACACATTTCTACCAGTAATTAATTGTCACCAAATGTAATGCACACAATGTAATTGCCAGGACCTGGATGATAATTATAACAATTGGTTTAAAATTATTAGCTTATTATAATTGTTAACAATTTGAGCACTCGTTGTCTGTAGTGTAGTGTTTCAGATACTGTTTAACACAAAACTTTTAAATTGCTTGCATTTCTTGTGTAAATCAATATTAAATTTATTATTATTTGTGTCAAAGTTTATAACGAGATAATAGTTTTGTATGAAATTATGATAACAATTAAGGGGAGAGAGATAGAGAGAGAGAGAGAGAGAGAGAGAGAGAGAAAGGCTGAGAAAACAACTGTTTGTATTCAAGTGTATTTGAATGTATAATTCATAAACACGATTAAAACATAAGATATTAAATCTCTCTCTCTCTCTCTCTCTCTCTCTCTCTCTCTCTCTCTCT